AAGAGTTAGTGTTTCTGGATTTGTGGGTTGATAGGCAGAGTTGGAGTCAAACAAAATGAGCATCTTGACATCAGGAGTGCACCTAATGGATTCATCAGTGGTAGTAATACCTTTCTGAGGATAACCAGTGGCTTGAGCAATAGTGTCAACAATGATGGAGACTGGAAACCCATAGACTTTGGATGAAATGGTGAGACCATCAACATGGACAAAGGCATTTATCCAGAAATCTTTTACAAGATGTGGATAAACATATCCACACAGCATAGATAGATACTTATTCCACCCTTTAAAGTGTATACCAATATGGAATTTTTGCCCAGTACCCAACATTTTTGGTTGCTTCTCTATGATGACTTCTAGAAGGTCATCATTTCCATGAAAGGTTCTTGGGGTTATGGATAACATTGCCATGTTGATAAAAAGATGGAGATGAGGTGAGAGAAAAGGATAGAATATGTGATGGAACACTTAGGTGAGGAAGTGGAATGAATTGAGGAAGGTATAAATAGAAACGAGAGACATGAAAGAGTAAGTTAAAAAAACTTAGACATTTAATGTTTGAACAAGAAAAAATGGAGGAATTTTCATGCAGCTTCGTTAAAGTAAAAGGACGTGAAGACTTATATTTTCAAGGTGATTTAGGATGGAGAAAGAGCAGACAGGTAAATAAATGAAGTGGTTTTGGAACAATTTTCAAGAAGGAATAACATTGCATGGAGACTGAGACAGATATAGAGTGGATGGCGAAAAAATTATTTTCCCAAAAAGGAAACAAATAGATTTAGAAATAGAACCTAAGTACCTATGAACTGAATGTATTGGATTGGATATGACTAGCAGATAAACACATATGGTAAATAAAGTGAGTGAAGGGAGTTGGAAATACCTGGAGACACATGTGTGACTGTTTCATTTCAGACTTTAATGAATTTATAATACCTTTGAGATTATAAAATTATTACAGTGATTCTTTTATCTGAGTGTTCTCCATTATGGTTTTGACTTTAGCTTATCCTTGATAGAGCTCCTGATCATATTGTCATGTCTTTGAATATTTTCAATTCTTTCTTTCTTCAGATACATTCTGCTATGTTGTAGCGAAGAATGTCACTTCCTTGAGAACCCTTCTAGAATTTTTTGGAACTACCTTTTTATAGAGAGTTATTTTTTCTCCAGAACATAGCTAGCTCAAGTATGCATAATTTTTTATGCTTACTTCAGATAATTTCTTTTCTCAAGATGTTTGTGGTTTTCTCTAACTGGATCTCTCTACACGGTTAAGTGTTTGATTCAATAATCAATAACAAAGCCTAGCTCTGATACCAATTGAAGGTGGAGAAAAACACAAGAAAGGGGGGTTTTAATTGTGTTGATAGAAACTTTCTCCCTTTCTAAATAGTTTGTGGAAGCATTTGAGTAAGTGGAAATTAATAGCAGTAAAGAACACATTCATTTTTATACAAGTTCACCTTCAAAACTAAGACTACATATTGTCCACCCTCCTCGGGTGATTTTTCCTTAGAAAATGACTTAATCCACTAATCTTGAAAGATTACAACAACCTCTAAGAGTCTAGAAAGACCTCTTAGCCCTCTCAAGTATACAGACTAGAAATTCACTTGAGGAAACACCAATTCTAGAAAAAAATTGTTTTCCTAGAGACTTACAAGAGTGCTTCGTATCAAGAAGATTTCTCCTACTTAAAGTACATATTGTTTTGACAAACTTTTGAGCATTAACTTCGTTGTCTAAAACAATTTACATGAAGGTTTCTAAGAAATAATACAATTAGAGCAATAACTCTTGTGTTTTGCATGTTTCTACAAGATTTAATATTATAGAGATTAAGTGAAAAAGCATCTTGTATTCTTCTTATCTTCATCTTCTTTGTTAGTCAAGCTAAACAAATAGTTTCTTTCTTCTTTTCTGGTTTCTCTTGAGATGCATTTTGATTAATATTTTGAATGACATCTTGTTGATATTTTCAGCTTCTTTTCTTCAATGATCAAGACACAAGTATCGAGTCATGTTTCTTATACTTATTGATCCTTCATTCTTTCTGTTGTTGTGATGTTTTTCTTGTATGATTAACAACCTTTTTAGAACTAAGTTGTGATGAACATGTTGCTTCTTAGTAAGCTGTTAGCACTTTAATATGCTTAATGAAATATTACACTATAGAGCAACAACTCAGCGTAATATTACATTTTAAAGTGATACTACTTTTGTGCTTGTGAAATTCTTGGTGTTGTTTAGCCACACACCACATAGCCATATTTTCACACGTATTCAAAGTTGATTTATACATGTTTGAGAGAATAGTACCGTTGGAGCACATAATGTTTGTAACATGTATTTTTTTCCAGTTTGATATATTTTCAATGAAAATCTACCTTTTGTAATAATTACTGTGTATGGGGCGTAATTTCTTCTTTTTATCTATCCAAGATATAGCTGAGAATTACCATCATTATTTTCCTCGAAAACTGTTATGATGTGTCAGTTTTGATTAGAGCATTACTAGAGATGCATCTGGACTTTTCTGATCTTTGTTTAACTTATTTCTATAGAACTTGATTTCTCCAGAAGATGTTATTTTTGTTTCTGAAGTGTTGAGCTTGAGACTTATTTCTTGTCTTGTTCTTCTAATGAGTAGTTCAGAAACTACTTATTTGATGTAGCGTAGAAACACTAAATTGAAGTTTAGGAACACATCTTGTTTTCATAATTATAGACATCAGCTTATCTGAAATACAACTTCAGTTGTAGAAGCTTTCTGATTTTGTATCTTTAACTTTCTGAGCTATATTTGTGCAAGCTCTAGAATTTTTCTGATGTACGATCACGTCTTCATATGTATAGGCAACAACTTATCTTGAGAGACAACTTCAGTTGTAGAAGCTTTTTGATTCTCGTATCTTCAGCTTTCTTAGTTATATTTGCGCAAGCTCTTTTATAGAATGTTTCTTGTTATTAAATTTGCACACTCAATAAAACTATTAGTAGCACTGATATTATTACTCACAAAATATATGATTGTTATCATCAAAATAAAGAATTGCTTAGAAGCTTTCTTGCTCTAACAGGATCTACATGTGGAAGTCTAATGTTCTTGTATTTTTCCTTGAGAGGCGGCAAGGAATTTTTTGTTGGGAGTCCAACATTGTTGTATTTTTCCTTAAAGGGCGGAAAAGATTTTCCCATGGGAATTTCGCACAAGCAATCACCTCGAGAGGTGTCAAGGATCTTTCTGTGAAATTCTAGTTATGTATATTGCCTTTAGAGGTGGCAAGGATCTTTCTATTGGAGTCCAACTATGTATATTGCCTTGAGAGGTGGCAAAAATCTTCGCGTGAGAGCCTAACAAATATAATTTCCTCGAGGGGCGTCAAATATTTTCATGTGGAAGTACATTTGTGTATATTGTCTTGAGAGGCAACAAGGATATTTGTGTAGGAGTCCAGATATGTATATTGCCTTTAAAGGCGGTAAGGATCTTCCCGTGAAAGTCCACCAAATGTAATCACCTCGAGAAACGGAAAGGATCTTCATGTGAAAGTCCAACTATGTATATTGCTTTGAGAGGCGACAAGGATCTTCCCGTGAGAGTCAAACAAAGGTAATTGCCTCGAGGGGCAACAAGGACCCTCATAATGATGTCCAATGTAAAATACATTTTAAAGAAGGAGTATCCCTAGTTAAAAAAAATACTTGAATAACTGTTGAGAGTTACATGGGCATAATGTTTATTAGAGAGTTACAAATAATTCTAACCACGAAGATGAATAGCGTTCTAAGTCTTGGGTAGAAGTGGTCCTTCAAGCTCCGACAAGTTGTATGCTCTATGAGGGAGTTTCTGGTATATGTGATATGGTTCTTCCCATTTAGGTAGCAGCTTTCTGTGTTGTGCAGGTATGACTACTTCCTTAAGTACTAAGTCACCCGCATAAATCTCTCTTAGTTTCACCTTGAAGTTGTATTTTCTTGCGGCCTTATGTTTGACTGCAAATTCTCAGACATGAGCGCAATTGAACAACAACAAACAATAGTAAGTGAATATGAGTTGAACGGAAACAAACAAGTCACAATTGAAAAACGACAAATAATATTGAGTTCAACAAAAATCAATATTGAGTTGAACAATGTGATTATGTTTGAAAGAGATGATGTGATGATGATGAAATACGGTTGAAAGAAGAAAAAAAACTATAATAGAGTGATAAAACTTAAAAATTTGTATGTTTTAAAGTTTTGATATTGACATATTAAAAATTAAAAAATATATATAATTTTATGTATTTTATTGTATCGAGCGGTTTTACAAAATTGACTTTAATTCTTTAGCTCAAACGATTTTAGAAAGTTCAATTTAATTTATTTATTTTATTTTACTCCGATTTTAATCCACTAACGATTTTTCAAAATTAACCGAATTAAATTTAACTCTAATTTTCAATTCAATTGATTGAACCAACCAATTTGATTCAATTTTTAAAACCTCAGATAATACAAGACCTACCTTAGCAAATAGTGTATTAATATTTTACCATAAAAACTACTCCCTTTGACTAAAATAAATGATTTAATAACTAAGAATAAATAATAATAATAATAATAATAATAATAATAATAATAATAATAATAATAATAAAATACCTCAATTAAAAGCGAAATGTCACAACCTACATATCTGTTGCTTAAAACAAAAAATGTCTATATCAAAACTCTTTAATGTTAGTAATTCAATTGTAGATACATGTTTTTATATTCCAAAGTAGATATACATGTTTATTTTCTACTTATTTTGCATTTAATATATCACTCACATGCTTAAGAAAAAAGTCAACATCTCATACAAATCTTCCTTGATTAATGCTACAAATTTATAATGGAGAAATGTGAAACTATTATATGCACATATACACAAACACATATGTATTGATTATAGAATCAAAATACAAACATAGGTAAAAAAAAAAAAATTTGATTACACTGATTTATAGATGAAGTGAAGTATCAACATCTGAGGCATCAAAATTTCTTGATGTTGATGATGATGCACCTTGTGACCATTCACTCAAAGAAGTGTTTGATTTCGTGTTGTTCTTATCACCTTGCTTGTATGTCAAGTTGAGTCCAAGAGAAAGAGAATCATGATCATAACTTGACCTAACCATCAACCTTTGTTCTGTGTTGGTGTTGGTCTCTGATGATGACAACAACCTAAGAAGTTGTTTACCTTCTCTTCTTTCTTTCACTTTCTCCAATTGTCTAAACCTTTCTTGAAGAAGAGCAATGGAAGAGTTCTTCACCATGGTTGAATTTGAATTTGGATCATTATCTTGCCTACCCATTTGGAACTAGTGACTAAAGTTTCAATCTTTGAGAAATTTGAGGAGAAAGGAACATTATATTTTTGGTGGGTTTGGAATGTTGTGTTTTGGAACATATATTTTGAAGATCATCATCATTTGTAGCTGTTGAGCATTATTTTTTAGTATTTTGGGACCTTCTAATTGATTCTTGATGAAAGCAACATAGATTAGAATCAAGTGATGTTTGACAAAAGGACAAAGGGAAAGTTGTTGAGGTTAGTATAGAGGAAGGAAGGGTAGGATATATGTGTGGACAAAGGGACTTTTTGAAGGAGGAAAAGGGTGAGAGGTAAAGGACAAAATGATGATGAAGAAAGTAATTGGAAGAGAGTATTTTGGAGAATAAATGGTTAGGTAATTGCTTATCTGTGCTTGTCATTTTTAGGTTACTATTTTGCTTAGGATGAGATAGTGCATATTTGTTTGGTCTTTATGGTATGTTGCTTCTTTTTTTGTTTTTTATGTTTTTAACTATTGGATGTGTTGTTTATTTTCAATCATGTAGTGCACCGGCACATCTTGAATTATAATTTTGAAAATTTGAGGAACTTAAAATACAAAATATATATGAATATAATGTGTTTAATTAGTTTTAAAAAAATTAGGAATTGGACAAGATATTTTTTTAATGTTCTGTTTCGTTTAGAAATTGATTATGAAACAAAATAAAATAGTAGTTAGCATAAAATCTTTTTGAGCATGTAACAATATTAAATTTTTTATTAAAAAAATAGTTTATCCTCTATTGTAGTTCTTCTTTATTTAAATAATTATTCAATATCATTGTGTGCATATAATATCTAATATCTACTAAAAGAATATGAATATTAATCTCGTTAAATTATAAAACTTTTTTTTAATATAAGTTATATCACAACTATTAAAATATAGAAAATGCTTATTAGTAAGAAAGTATGAAAGCAAGAAAAATAAAAAATAAATCTCAACTATTCATTATTACCATTATTCTATGATTTCTATTAAAAAGGAAATTAAATTAAAAATGAATTTAAAATTGTCCTCTAAAACAATGACAAAGATACATTCTTGTCTTTTTTATTCAAATGATTCTTACTATATAGCATTACACTTAAAATATATTTTTTTATTGTAATATGTCTTAAAATTTTTGTTGATAAAGAGAAAGAAAATATATTTTGGAGATTGCATATACCGTGAAAATCGAAAGTTTTAAAAAGTCGATCAAAAATCCAAATAACCAGAAATCGGGAAAATACGATCGTACGGATGATGAATAGTAAAATCATACGGGCATACGAACAATGGATAGTGAACCGTAATGACAGGGAATAGCGAACCGCACAGGCGATGATTAGTGATTTTGGTTTTTTTGAACTTTTATAGCAAATTCTCGTTTTGCGTGCTTTAGGCTATTTGGTTTGATCCATGGATCCATGTGTGATTGGATTGTGATTTTGGGCTTTAGTTGTTGGATATTTGCTATTATAAATATGTATCTTTCATATGGTTGCTACTATTCTTTGCCTCACAAATTTATATTGAACATTATCGTTAATTTACAACAAGTGGTGCGGTGAGCGTGAAGCAAATGGGTATTGTTTACAACTGAGCATCATGGTTTGATGGGAGATCGAGAAATTTTCTGGTAACAGCGACTTCGGGTTGTGGAAAATTAAGATGTAAGAAATTTTAATTCAAGAGAAATATATTGATGCTTTGAAGAGTGAAACATTGATGCATGTAGGGCTTATACAGGTACAAAAGACTGAGATGTTGGATAAGACGAAGAGTTCCATTATTTTGTGCCTCGTGGATAAAGTTCTAAGAGAAGTCGCCAGGGGGCAAACTACGGTTGTTATGTGGACAAAATTTGAATCATTGTATATGACAAAGTCTTTGGCTCACAGGTTGTATCTAATACAACAACTCTATTCATTCAGAATGGTGGAGAACAAATCCATAGTTGAGCAACTTATAAAATTTTACAAGATTATTGATGATCTTGAGAATATTGAAGTGAAGATTGAAGATAAGGACAAGACTTTGCTCCTGTTGAGTTCATTACCCATATCCTTTGGGCATTTTAAGGATGCCTTTCATTATGGTAAGGAAGGTACTATTACTTTGGATGAAGTCCAGGCGACAATGAAATCCAAAAAAAATTCAAAGTCGAAATATTTGGAGATTGAAGATTGTGGTGAAGGCTTAAATGTGTCACGAGGAGGATGTGAGCATAAAGGGATGTCCAAATCAAAGAGGTTTGACAAGTCAAAGGTAAAATGTTTTAATTGTCAGAAAATCAATCACTTTAAAAGGGATTGTCCTGAGAGAAAGGTCAATGAAGATTCTTTTCAAGCTGTAGTTGCCTTGGATGAGGAAAGTTATGAGGATGTCGATGCACTAATAGTATCGAGTTTGGAAACTGAAGATAGATAGGTCATTGACTCAGGTTGCTCTTATCACATATGTTCAAGAATATAATACTTTGAAACTTTGAAGATGGTGCAAGGTGGAGTAGTTTTCCTCGATGATAATAAGACATGTGTTGTACCCCAAAATTTTCCCTCTCATTTTATCAAGATTTTCCTCACAAGACTCTTTGGACTCAAGACAAGATCAGGGTTTGCTCAGCTCAAGACCTCACCTTGCACTGATGACCTGAAATTAGGGTTTGAGTTTGCACAAGGAATTTTGGACCATAAATGCTTCATGTGACTTTCATACACCATCTTGGACCCCTAATATTGCTCATGTTAAGTTCCAGGCCTTGAATCACATTTTTACCCAGTCAATTGGACAGTTGACCTAAAAATCAGCTGTATTGGGGAAAAAGTCAACCATGGCCAATTTACAGTCAAAATTCATAATTTTTTATCCACAACAACATTTTAGACTCATATGAACCATTTGATCAAGTTTGGATCACAACTCCTCAGGAAATTTGATCAAATCATCAAAAGGGAAAAATGGTCAAAATTAGGGTTTTGACTGAGAAAGGGCAATTTCTGATTTTTAACCTAGCCAATGGCCAATTGGGTTCAAGCATGATTTCAAGGACTCAATAGCATCATCTTGACCTAATCACATAGTTCAAAAGATCTCAAATGCATAGGATTGACAGATGAATTTTGCAGTCAATTGTACACTAAAAAGTCAAACTTTAACTTTTGGTCAAAATCAAGTGCCAAGGGTCATAATTCATCAAGATATGTCAAAATATGAAACTTGTTGATCAAGAAAATCAATTTTGCAAATTAGGGTTTTAATTTGAAAAATTTTCATAACTTAGAAAATTTCTAAGTATTTTTGGCAATTTTCTTGAGGGCCTTAATCATTTTGTTTAGGTAACCAAGACAGCGTCATCGAGGGACTATGATCTTTTTGTTTTGCCAAAGTACTTAACATGCATACCATGGCCCATTTTTGAAGGCAACAAGTGGAATTACCCTAAGGGTGCATGTGTGCAAAGTGTGTTTTATTGCATGCATTTGTCTTTGATTTTTAGGTTGTCTACTTGTTGATTTTATCTTGCCATACACGCCTAATTTCTAGCATTTGTACAAAGTAAATAAAATGCAGAAAGATAAAATCCTACGCTATTACATCCATATCGAAAGGCATAAAAATATGAAGGAAAAAATAAGATAAAAGTAAGAAAATGAGTGTCTTTCGACCCAGGCAGTAGCACCCTTCGACTTGCATTTTGTTGGCCTCCTTCGATTGGGGCTAGCCCCAGTGAGGTCATGGCCTTCGATTAGGGGCTGGCACCAGTGAGGTTCTGTCCTTCGATTGGCCTGGAAGTCAGTGTATGGTGAAGCCTTCTGGTTCTGCCTTGTTGCCTTGTTGTCCTCTTCGACTGGAGGTTAAAAGCAGTGAGGGAATGCCTTTCGACTGATCCTAGAAGTCAGTGAAGGCATGCTTTTCATTTGGGCCTAGAAGTCAACATGGTTTTCCTCCTGGTTGTCTCTTTCGTTTGACCTGGAGAAAGAGGGTAGAAGCCAGAAGCTTCGTTTCCTATTTCCTGTTTCCTGTTTCTTTCATTTCAAGCATTAAATGGCAACATGGCCTGAGGCCATGCTAGTATTTGTCTTGTAAACAATTTAATAGTTAAAGCAAGTTCAGGTAAACAGAAAGAAAAATGAAAAGCTTAACTCTAAAAAATATGTTAAAAAGGGTGGAAACTAAAGGAACAATGGTATGTACATGTTTCAAACGAAAGGGAAAATTACTATGCCATGGAACGAAAAGTTCAAAGGTAAGAATAACTTACCTTGCTTCAGGCCTTGAATGGATGTGGGTTTCGAACTTGAACTGCTACCTGGACGTTTCTGGAATTCGAAGAGTAGTCACAGGGGGTTTGCTTTTGGTTCGAAGAGTTGTCACAGAAGGTTGTCTTTGAGTTTGAACAAACTTCTATGTGTGGGGTGTTCTTCATAATCGAAAGAGGTGAGTGTTTGGGATTCTGGGTTTTGATTTCTCAAGTGTTGATGAACGTGAGAGTTTTGTTGTGTTTGAGAAAATTTGGGGGATTCATTCCTCTGGTCCAAAAATCCTCCCCTAGCTTTGTAAATGTTCCTCTATTTATAGAGAAAGAATGGACATGTTGTCCAAAGCCAGCCTTGCAAATAAATGATAAAATAATGTAACGTGAAAGTACATGTGGGGGGCCTCTTGGCAGTTGGGGTGCAGAAGATGTGACTTATGCTTCTGACGTTGCTTGTGCTCAGACCAAAATCAGGTTGAAAGCTGATTTTGTGACTAAAGTACTCTCTATGAAAGGAAAGAGCATGTAGCCTTTAACCAATAATAGTAGTATCTAAAAGACAAAGTTTAAAACCTTTGTACAAGCTTCTGACTATGTAAAGATTTAGACGCAACATAGCCTAGCAAACGAGATTTGGTCTTGAGTCAAATGCAAGAATGAGATCGAAGCGCACTTGTTCGAAGGAAGCCTTTGCCTCAGTCGAAGCTTGTGGTTGAAACAAGCTTACTCGAAGGAAGCTAATGCCCTGTCGAAGCTTGGATCGAAACAAACATATTGCCCAATCGAAAGACTGTGTTCGAAGGAAGCAATGTTTCCTAATCGAAGCATGTGGATCGAAACAAACATAAAGGGAGTCATTGCCTTGTGTCTTTTTAGCATGAGGGAAGTTCCTGGCTTCTGAATTGAAGGGCGCTTTTTCAAGGGAAGCAAGAACTTAGTCACATCTTGTATGAAGATATTTCTTGGATCAAATGAAGCTTGTATGAAGCAAAGTATGCAAGAGGCCCTTGGTGCAAGTGGATTTGAAGGATGCATAGAGATGGTTACTTTGTCCCATCGAAACTTGTCCAAACGAAGCAAGCATGCAGGCATCAAACTTGTCCAGTCGAAGCAGGCTTGTAGGCAGTAAACTTGTCCAAATCGAAGTAGGCTTTACAGGCAACACGCTTGGTGAA